CAAATCAATGATGTGGAACATAAGGAAGCAAAAAACAACCAATCAAAACAACAAGAAGAAAAATCCAAAAGAATAAGGATAGTATAAGCAGCCTCTGGTCCAATTTCAAGCATTCCAAAATTTGCATCATAGGGGTGCCAGAAGGGCAAAAGAAAGAGTAAGAAATTAGAAATAGAAATCTGTTTGAAGAAATAGTGAAAGAAAACTAACCTAATTTGATGAAGGAAATAGACATGCAAGTCCAGGAAGCACAGAGAGTCCCAAACAAGATGGACGCAAAGAGGCCCACTCCAAAACACATCACATTAAAATGCCAAAGGTTAAAGATAAAGAGAGACTCTTAAAAGCAGCAAGAGAAAAGAAGTTAGTTACCTACAGGGGCGTTCCCATAAGACTGTCAGCTGATTTCTCAAAAGAAACTTTGCAGGCTAGATGGGATTGGTAAGAAATATTCAAAGAGATGAAAAGCAGGGACCTACAACCAAGATTGTTCTACCCAGCAAAATTATCATTTAGAATCTAAGGGCAGATAAAGAGCTTCCTAGACAAGAGAACACTAAAGGAGTTCATCATCACAAAAGCATTTGGGGAGGGGGTATAAAATATAATTTATTATAGTTGTCCCATTTTTATCCCCCTCTGCCTTGTATCCCCCTTTCTGCCAGAATCCTCCTGCCCCATCCCTTAGTTCATGTCCATGGGTCATACATAGAAGTTCTTTGGCTTCTCCATTCCCTATACTATTCTTAACCTCCCGCTGGCTATTTTGTACCTACCAATTATGCTTTTTATTCCCTGTACCTTTTCCCCCATTCTCGCCCCTCCCGCATCCTGCTGATAACCTTCCATGTGATCTTCATTTATTTGATTCTGTTCCTGTTCTAGTTGTTTGCTTAGTTTGGTTTTGACTTTGTTTTTGTTTAGATTCAGTTATTGATAGTTGTGAGCTTGTTGTCATTTTATTCTTCATAGTTTTTGATCTTCTTCCCTTTCTTAGGTAAGTCCCTTTAACATTTCACATAATAAGGGCTTGGTGATGATGAACTTCTTTAACTTTACCTAATCTGGGAAGCACTTTATCTGCCCTTCCATTCTAAATGATAACTTTGCTGAATAGAGTAATCTTGTATGTAGGTCCTTGACTTTCATGACTTTGAATATTTCCAGCCACTTCTTGCCTGTAAGGTTTCTTTTGAGAAATCAGCTGACTGTCTTCTGGGAACTCCTTTGTAGATAACTCTCTTTTTTTCTTGCTGCTTTTAAGATTCTCTCTTTATCTTTAATCTTGGGTAATTTAACTATGATGTGTCTTGGTGTGTTTCTCCTTGGATCCAACTTTTTTGGGACTCTGTGAGCTTCCTGGACTTTTATGTCTGTTTCCTTCACCAGATTGGGGACGTTTTCCTCCATTATTTTTTCAAATAAGTTTTCAGTTTCTTGCTCTTTCTCTTCTCCTTCTGGCACTCCTATGATTTGGATGTTGGAATATTTAAAGTTGTACTGGAGGTTCCTAAACCTCCCCTCATTTTTTTGAATTCTTGTTTCTTCATTCTGTACCCGTTGAATGTTTATTTCTTCCTTTTGTTCCAAATTGCTGATTTGAACCCTGGTTTCCTTCCCTTTCTTGTCGGTTCTCTGTATATTTTTCTTTATTTCACTTTGCATGGCCTTCACTTCTTCCTCTATTTTGCGACCATACTTAATTTCTGTGAACACCCTGATTACCAGCCTTTTGAATGCTGCATCTGATAGGTTGGCTATTTCTTCATTGCTTAGGTCTTTTTTTGGAGTTTTCCTCTGTTCTTTCATTTGGGCCATATTTCTTTGTCTCAGTGCATGGGCAGCTGCCTTGCTGTGCATTTTCTCTGTCCCAGCTGCCTGTCTCCACCTCTCCTGACAGTCTGGATAAATCTTTCTTCTTTAACTCCTTGGTTGTCAGACTTCGGTACATCTCGATTTTCTGGCCATTGTGGTTGTTTTCTATTTTTATATTAATTGTTGTCCTTCTTTTTGTTGTGCGAGGAAGCAAAGCCTATCTACCTATGCTTCAATCTTGGCTGGAAGCTCTGGATGTTTCTACCATCAGACCATTGTTATGTGAAGTGTTAAAGGGACTTATTTAATACAAAGAAGATCAAAACTATCAAAATAATATGGCAGAAAACACAAATCTATCAACAGTTGAATCTAAAAAACTAAGCAAACAAGAATAACAGACAGAATCATGGATACGAAGAGCATTTTGATGGTTGCCAGATGAAAAGGGTGTATGGGAGAATGGGTGAAGAGGTAAGGGATTAAGGTGTGCAAATACAATAGCCATGGGGATATAAAGTACAGTGTAGGAAATGGAGTAGCCAAAGAACTTGTACACGTGACTCATAGACATGAGCAATGGTGGAGGGACTGCCTGAGGGAGTGGGGGGTGCTGGGTGGAGGAGGGGCAAAGGGGGGAAAATGAGGACAACTGTAATAACATAATCAATAAGATATTTTTTAAAAAGGAAAGAGAAATCTTAATATATTCTTATGTGGATTTCCAAGAAAAATTTTGTCTATGCGCTCAGGTGGAGCCTTTGAAAAGCTTTACCTGAAAGGGACCCTATTTGTTCCCTCTTCTTGTTTTTTCATCCTGATGCTGTTTCATATCAGTCTGTCACTCTATGGAAAGATCATAATTACCTAACCGCTCCTCTGTTGATGGACATTTAGGTTATTTCCAGCTGTTTACTGGGTAGGATACACTTTAAAGGTTTGAAATTTCCCCAGCAAAAACATGCCTTCCCTTCTTCCACTCCTCAACACCTGATCACCGTGAAAAGCAGATCCCTTTGGAAAGTTTTAAAATTCATTTTCATACTTGGTTTTTTATTATTAATGTAGTCAGGGATAGGAAGGTAGCCATCATTTATATGTTGGATTCTTACTATATTTCCAGGCTCTGAAGGAACTTTCTGTCCATGATTTTATTTAGATTAAAGTCAGAATTACTTTCTCTGTGTTTTAGACCAGGAACCTGAAGCTCAGAGAGGCCCCAAAGCTAAGGTAAAGTTCAGCTATGCTCCACACAGTTCTGACCAGCCCCGGACTTTGTGCACTGTTTTATTTCCTTTAGTTCTGTCAGTTCTGTACATCTGTGTACACACAGAGCTCAGGGAGAGGTTTCTGCATCCGTCCTTGTGAGTTTCTGCTCAGTACTTCTAACTGGGTGGTGACTTGTTCCATGTTTGGTCTTGGTTTTCTGTTTCTGAGAGCTTTGATTGTGTATGGCATGATCTAACATTCCTTGGGAGTAAGTGGTGTTCAGAGGAAGGTGCCACTTCATCTTGGGGCCCTAACTTAACAGGTTCAGGTCCTTCATGAGAGGATGGCGGGGGAGGGGAGCAGGGGGAGGCGTCTGGGGCTGCGTTCGATCACACACAGCATCCTGAGTGGGCTCTGATGGATGCTGTCTGTCAAGCAGTGCACGCTTGGAATACTCTGGGCTCTCGGTGGTTGGCGTCTGTAATGCGCTATCTGTGTTTCCTGGATGCTAGAATCATGTCTCAAGTCATCTGTCATTTTTGTGGATGAATAATCCTAAGTGGGTAAATAAAAATTAATGTTTGGATTTGGATGCTAATTTAGCTTTCAATTACGTTTCGTTTGAGTGTTATTGAAATTAATTTGTGTTCCTTGAGCACATTCTACTTATTGGCAAGGTACAGTGGCCCCCAGAATACAGCTGGTGGTTGTTTGGGGTAAATTCAGAAGATGGATAAACCACATCAAGATAATGCAAAAGTTTACTTGAAAACTTTTTGCTTTTTAAAGGACAAAATGATGTCTGAACATCATCCAGATCCTAGAAAGAGAAAAACTCTTCATTCAGAATCCTGCCCCAAACAAATCAGACAGTTTTCTTTTGTCTTTGCTTAGTCCTGGTCTATTTGCATGTAAATACTTCTTAGACAGTACTAAATATGGAACTGAGTTTGAGCTCCTGGGGAAGCACTGCTGTTTTAGGCTTTGGGATTGGGCAAGCTTCTATTAAAATTCTGACTCCGCTGTTCAGTAGCAGTGCGGCATTGGGCAAGTTACTTAACACTTCTGAGCCTCTATTTTCTCATCTGTAAAGTAGGATTGATAATCCCTATATCTCCTGGTTGTTATAAGGACTGAGATACAGCCATGTTTCCCAGGATATTGGATATAAACCACTGGTGGCACAACAGACCTTCTTCATTTTTCTTAGAAACCTACTTTTTAAGAAAAAGCTTCTTTCTTTGGGGCAAGCTTCCTTTGGGTATAAGCTTTAACTCATCACTGATACTTGCTCCCCTTCTAAAGAAAGCCAGGATTTGGCTACCTTCAGTCACCTTGCTTTGTTTTCTGCTATTTACTTTTATATTAATAAGGTACATTGGTGTTTCATTTCCTTTAGTGATAAACTCTCTTTTAAAATAAATTTATTTAAATAAGAAGTTAATGATAATACCAATGTGCTCTAATTAAAACAGGAATTGTACAGATGGCATGTCAGTTTTAATCCCAGCCCTGTCACCTCCTGGCTGCGTGACCTTGGGTGGGTCATTTAACATCTCTGAGCCTCAGTTTCCTCATCTATAAAATGAGGATAATAATCGTACTATCTCATGAGGTTGAAAATTTTAAATGAGATAATATAGTCAGAGGCCTTAAAACACATCTGGCACATACAAAATTCCATAAAGTGTTAACAGAAATTTCTTATACAAATGATGACCTTTGGGAAGATTGGAGGGAGTTGGTGTTAGTGAAGTGCAGTTTCCAACATAGGATGGTGGGCAGTAAATGGTAACTGGTGCTATTGTTTTGATTATTTGATAATGATGATGTTAATAGTAGTCATAACAGCAAGCTAGGAGGTAGCATTTGTTGTTTTGGAAATGAATTTCTTGGAGCAGGAACTCTCAGCCAGCATGATAGGATCCAGTGAGATGCAAAGGTTCAAATCTGTTTGTTGTGTTCTACTATCCTAGGCCAAGCCCAGCATCCGGTGCTTTATTAAACCCACCGAGACACTCGAGCGGTCCCTTGAGATGAATAAGCACAAGGGCAAGCGGCGGGTGCAAAAGAGACCTAACTACAAAAATGTTGGGGAAGAAGAAGATGAAGAGAAAGGGCCTACTGAGGATGCCCAAGAAGATGCTGAGAAGGCTAAAGGTACAGAGGGTGGTTCAAAAGTCATCAAGACAAGTGGGGAGAGTGAAGGTGAGTGAGCCCATGAACTCTGCCCTGCTGCCCATGCTGTAGACCAGGCTGTCATTTGTATCTGGTCCCCCCTTGTGTGTCAGCAGGTGCTTCTCTTCATTCCTGACACTGGTGTACCTCACTCTAAACCAGTAATTCCAACCTTTTACTTTTCATGGTGCACATCAGGTAATTGCTAAAATTCTGTGGCACACCAAAATATATTTTTTGCTTATCTGACAAAAAAAAAATTAGGTACAATTTTGATTCATTCATACTATCTGGTTATTGTTGTGTTGGCTGCTGTCATTTTTATATTTGACAATCTAAGGGAAAAGAGTTCCGTGCCCCTGACTAAATAGGTATTGCATGTTTTAAAATTTTTTGTGGCACACCAGTTGAAAATTGCTGCTCTAAACTACCTTCAGACATTTGAAGGTAGATCTTGTACAAGTCCTGCTCTTACTGGATGGGTGACCTGGAGCAGGGTTCTGTACTCTTAACCTGTGCTTCACTTTCCCCATTTGTAAAACAAAGGTAACAGATAGTATTTACTTTGTTACTATAAGAATTAAATGAGTTAACATATGTAACATACTCAGAACAGTGCTTAGCCCATATCATAAGTATTTGCTGCTACTCCAACTGTTACTACTACTATTATTATCTTCGTTATTTTTATCATTATTGCTGTTATTTTTCCTGATTATCCAAATTATGATTTTTGACAGAAGTCATTGTTTGCAGTGAACTACACTACAGGAAGAAAAAGGGGCAGTGTTTAGTGAACTTACTGCTTTTAATAAGATTGTTTTTTTGGAATCAAATAATGAAATATAATCTCTTGGATTCTTCATTAAGATTTTTTTTAAAGTCCTATGTGTTTAGAGTGAGGTACACTTGTGTTTCCTGCCTATATGCTAAATAGGCAGAATAGCACAGCCCTCTTTTTTGCCTTTGTCAGGAATGACTCCTTAATTTTTCATCTCCCTCTTATTTAGATGCTAAGGCCTTCTCAATCTGGAGACAATGGTCTGCTCTGGGAGTAAGCAAGCTTAAACTGACCAGTTCCTTGTGTCAGGGGCCAGGCACACAGCCACACAGATGGGGTTCCTGGCCATGGCCCTGGGCACTCAGCGTGAAAGAGGTGATAGGGTGGAAGTGGACTGGGGGCTCTGGTCACTGGAGGTGAGCTCCCACCACACTCCCCAGCATAGGTATGAGCTCTCTTCAGTGCCCAGCTGTGGTCTGCTGGCCGTGTGGAGAATACTTCCTGCAAGCTGTCCTCCTGGGTCCTGGGCTAGTAGTGGCTGCTCTGAAGGCGGCTGTCTTTGGCCTGTCAGCCTGGACTATGTGAGTCCCTAGTCCCAAGCATCTGAAGCTGGGAAATGGAGTGACTCACTAAATCAGTGAGTGGGAACTCATTTGCTGCCAAAACCCATCCCCACTGCACCCCAGTGGCCCCATTCTGATTTTCTTGGCTGTTCTCAGTGAATGCCATGATCACATTTCAGTAAGTATCACCAAAGCACCTCTCTGGTGCCACCTGGTCCTTTTTTTAAGGCTTAGCTCTCCAGCATGCTTTTATTTCTGTTCAAAGCGCGCAGTAAGAATTTTGGCTCAGAAAACGTTTACCAACAAATACCACTTTGATGAGGAAGGGTATGAAGGGAAGAGGAGCAAACACAAGGGAAGCCATACTTGTTTGCTTATTTAGATCATTTGGATATTTTTTTTAAACTCAGGAGAAAATTGTCTGATTAATCCCTAGATTTAGCTGTCCTTTGGCCACATCAGGGGGCAAAGGGACGATTTTACCCCATTCTGTGCTTTGTGTTCTCATTGATTTTGTTTTGGGAAGATGCTACCCTCTTTCATTCCAGTCCTTTTAAGGGCTGCTCCCTACCCAGGCCTGTGCTGTGACTAACTGGTGTGGACAGGGCAGTCTTGGCCTTAAGTGCACAACCAAATGAGTCAGCCTGGCAGCCCAGTCCTCATGCACAGGGGGTTCAGTGGCTCCGCAAGGCTGCCGTTCCCGCCCACCATGGGGATCAGGGTGAGGGCTCCCGCACACCGAGCCCTTCTGCCCTGTGCAGGAGGCAAGGAGAGAATGTTCACCAGTTTCTAAAAACCTATCTTCCAGGCAGTCACTCAGCCAGGTTGTACTACGCAGGGTCTAGGAATTTCTCCAGAGGTTTGTTCAGTTGGTGCTGACTTCAGAGCTCAGTTAAGCATGGCTCTCAACCCTCTCAGCATTTTGGTACCTTATTTTCTCAAATGGGCATTTGTCTTTCCATCCAGTTCACCAAAAGTAAATGCAACTTTCATAGGCCTATCTGGCAAACAAACACCTAACTGGGCAGCAGGGGTTCTATTCTGGAGCTTTTTCAACTATATATTTGATTTCTTAGTTATTCTCATATTTGAAGGTGTGGCTGGCAAGTGTTCATTCCCTAGGCTATATCAGTGTTTCGGTAAAACTGCACAGCTGTTAATTCCTGTGACTTGGAAGGGCGTCAGGCACATTGCCTAATTCAGTTTCAAGCCAGAGGTCAGTGTTGATGGGGGAGGTGCCTGGGAGATGGGAAACCTGACTTGCAGATTTGCAGTCCTGTCTTGATGTCTAGGTTTACTGTGGGCCTTGGATGGTCTTCTCAAGTTTGGGGCCTTTCCTTCTGGAAATTATGAGTATAGAAAATACAGTTCATGTAACAATTTTCTTAAAGTATATTTTATTGATTATGCTATTACAATTGTCCCAATTTTCCCCTCTTTTTCCCCTTTTGCCCAGTACCCCCTTTCCCTCCAGCATTCTCCCCCCCACTTAGTTTATGTCCATGGGTTGTGCATGTAAGTTCTTGGGTTTCTCCGTTTCCTGTACTATTCTTAACCTCCCCCGCTCTATTTTGTACCTACCATTTATGCTTCTTATTCCCTGTACCTTTCCTCCCATTCTTCCCCTTTCCCCTCCCGGGTGATAACCCTCCAAATGACCTCCATATCTATGATTCTGTTCCTGTTCTAGTTGTTTGCTTAGTTTATTTTTCTTTTTGTCTTTTAGATACAGTTGTTGATAGCTGAATTTGTTGTCATTTTAATGTTCATAGTTTTTATCTTCTTTTTCTTAAATAAGTCCCTTTTACATTTCATATAAGAGCTTGGTGATGATGAACTCCTTTAGCTTTATCTCATCGGGGAAGCACTTTATCTGCCCTTCAATTCTAAATGATAGCTTTGCCGAATAAAATAATCTTGGATGTAGGTCCTTCCTTTTCATCACTTTGAATACTTCTTGCCTGCAAAGTTTCTTTTGAGAAATCAGCTGACTGTCTTCTGGGAACTCCTTTGTAGGTAACTCTCTGCTTTTCTCTTGCTGCTTTTAAGCGTCTCTCTTTATCTTTAACCTTTGACATTTTAATTATGATGTGTCTTGGTGTGGTCCTCTTTGGGTCCAATTTGTTTGGGACTCCCTGTGCTTCTTGGCATGTCTATTCACCAAATTAGGAAAGTTTTCTTTCATTATTTTTTCAAATAAGTTTTCAATTTCTTGCTCTTTATCTTCTGGAACCCCTATGATATGGATGTTGGCCCTTTTGGAGACGTCCCAGAGTCTTCTTATTCTCTCCTCATTTTTTTTTTTAATTTTTGTTTCTTCATTTTATTCTGGTTGACTGTTTATTTCTTCCTTTTGTTGCAAATCATTGTTTTGAGTTCTGGTTTCCTTCCCTTCACTGTGGGTTCCCTGTGGATTTTTCTCTATTTCACTGAATGTAACTTTCATTTTTTCCCTTATGCTTTTGCTGTACTCGGTGAGTTCTCTGAGCATCCTTACCACCAGTGTTATGAACTCTGCATCTGGTAGGTTGGCTATCTCTGTTTCATTTAGTTCTTTTTTTGATGTTTTGTTCTGTGCTTTCATTTGGGCCGTATTTCTCTGTCTCCTCAATTTGGCAGCCTCCCTGTGTTTGTTTCTGTGTATTAGGTAAAGCTGCTTTGACTCCCTGTTTTGGCACACCTGTTACATTGTATGGAGTGGAGCCTTAGGTAATTGCCAGAGTGTGGCAAGTGCTTCACCACTCTGTGGCTCTGTACATGGTTCGGGCGGGGGGGAGGGGTCGAAGAGGGGACTATGCTGTGGCCTGGCTGCTGGAGGCTTGCTCAGCACTCACCCTGTTTCCAGTTATTTCACCCACATCCCATATGTAATTCATGCCCCTCTAGCTGTTGCCCTGGTTCCCAGAGAGGGTGGGTTTGCATATGTTCCAGGACCATTTGGGCCCTTTAAAGAGACTCTACTGAGAGTTTCTTCCCTACCCCAACCCCCACTGGTTTTTACAACCATAAGTTATGAGGCTTTATTTCCTGACTCTGGAACCCTGGGCTGTGTGGTCTGGCCTGGGGCTGAGATCGCTTGCTCCCCAGATATCCCTCCCAGTTTTTATCCACCAACGTGAACGTGGGACGATCCGTTCCACTAGCCGCCGCCACCACTGCCTCACCACTGCCATTTCGCCACCACCGCACCATTGCATCCTCTCTGCCCAGGCTCCCCCTCTCCATCCCGCCACCTGTCTAGGTGAATGTGGCTTCTTTAAATCCTTGGTTGTTGGACTTCCATACAGTTCGATTTTCTAGCATTTCTGGGTGTTTTTTGTCTTGAGGTTAGTTGTGATCCTTCTTATTGGTTGTGCAAGGAGGGGAAGTATGTCTACCTACACCTCCATCTTGACCAGAAGTCCACAGCTTTTCTTTTAAAATGAGGGTATGTTAGTGTTCTTGAGTTTGCAAGATTTAGAAATTAAGCTCAGGTTGGCTTAAGCAGAAAGGGTGATTTATGTTTCTGCAACTGAGAGGCTAGGCAAGGCTGGACCTAGATACAGCAATGACCATTGGCAGTGCCAGGCTCACATCCTGCCAACTTAGCACCAAGTGGAAAAGGAGCTGCTTCTTCCCACTAGCGGCAGCTGAAGTCTGGGGTCTGATGCTTGTTAGTGATGGACCTGGCTTGCCCTTCCCCTGGA